GCTGCATCGGGTGACTCCTCCACCTCCGATTTCTCCACTCTGCCGTTAGCCTTACCCCACCTCTACCGCGTACCCGCTCTATCACCCTTCCAGCCACACCCTGTCTAGAGTACGCACCTCTCATCTACACCATTTTAATTCTGTGTTTTAGTTAATTATTATCATGAAATCCTAACATTTTCATTTTTTTCAGACGGATCAAAACGTTTTTATTTTTTCCACGTATATAGGAAAAGGACATTAAAAATGACGCAGGTCTAATTTTCGTTGAAATCTGAATTTTTGGAAATTCCAAAGATTGAAATGAAAATTCAATGAGAAAAGGAATGTTTTAGCACCACGAGATATTCTTCGACATCCACTTCTTTCTGCGACACAATCTCCGTCCCACTCGCTTACCTCTCCCTCCATCTTTGCTCTCTTCCCACCTCCCACTCCCCACCACTTCCTACCTCCTACTTAAGCCTCGCCCTCCCGCGTAACTTTTTACTATCTCTGATACAATTTACGAAGTACAAAGAAAGTATTGTAATGCTGCAGATAAAAATCGCAACTTTTCGGGGGAGAAAAAAAAACTTCATTGTGCGACCCTGATACTGAAAAAGTGGATACATTTTCTTTCAATGTGTTAACTACTTCGTATAATACATTTTCTAGTTTCAACACAAGTTCATTGGGTGCTTAACACCGAAAAATTTGTATACAGAAAATACATCCCTCTGTCCGGCAGTCTATCCGTCCGGCTACAGATCTGTCAGTCTTCAACACCAAATTTAAAACTGTCCAGACTATATAATTCATACATTTATATATCCGAATCGATCAGGGTGCCCTCAAAAAAAGAAAGATTCTCTGAGAACTTCAAACGAATATTTTGATTAATGATTATGTTTAAGAAGACAACATTTTTATTTTAAAAGAATGGAACTGTGATTTAAATTGAATAATTTTTTTAAATTATTTTCTTTCCTGATATTCAGCTAAAGACGCTTCAAAATGACGCAGGTCTCATTTTATTTTAACTCTTGGGATTTTACAAAAGTTCAAATGGTTGAAATGAAAATTGATGTGAAAGTGAATGTGTTTGTGGCAACACTAGTTATTCTTTGCTACGCACTTCCTTCTACGTCGCAATCCTCTCCTTACCACTTGCTTTCCTCTCCTTCCATCTCCACTCCCGTCCTTTCCCGTCAGCATTAGCCCACCCTCCTGCGGCGGACCGCCTGCTGCGTCGCGCCACTTGCGGGCTGTGGTGACTCGCACTGTCAAATCAAAAGAACAAAAGAACGCCTGCAAATTTCAAACGAATATCTTGTCTCTCGATTATTTTCATGACGTCTTAACAATATTTTAATTTTTTTAAAATGGCTGCTAATTTTTTGATTATTTAGAATAGATTTTATAGCTATATTTATTATTATTATTTTTATTATTATTATTATTATTATTATTATTATTATTATTATTATTATTATTATTATTATTCGCGTTTGGGCTACTACTGACAACACAACATACTATTTCTCTCTCCGAGGTTCAGTTGTTTCTATCCGGGAGAGATCAAGGTGTGGAATTATGGGTAGCAGCTTTTCGGCTCTATGCCTTGGTTAAGAGAATGTTTTTTTAGTCTCGAATATCAATTACCGGGATTGTATGAAATTATTTTTATTATTGATGTCGTTAAGACGTCGTTATGTTTCGATTTTAAGTTGTTTGGGAAGGCTCAATTCGCTTGTGGATGACTTTCACAAGACCGCCAAAAATTAAGAGTGTCAGCACACATTATCGTTAGAATATCCAACACTAAGTATTTCAAGAAAATATGTGTTACCAGTTCTGGGACACTCAATTATTTTTTTTTCCAACTTCCTGTAAATATACGAGATCATTCAAATATAAACCGTGTCTTCGTTTGTTTCGCGTGTTTGCGTTATCAGCGCGGCATCCGCGGGAATCACTCATGGGAACAGAAAGAAGATATAGCCTTGTCCACGGCCCTCATACTCACATTGCCTACCATTGAAGTATTTTTAGAATGAACACTACAAAGTCTCTCTCTCTCCTCTCTCTCTCTGTCTCTGTCTCTCTCAGTCTCTCTCGTCTCTCTCAGTCTGTTTCTCTATCTCACTCACTCTCTCCTCTCTCTCTGTTTCTCTCTGTCTCTCTCTCACTCTCCTCTCTCTCACTCTCTCTCACTCTCTTTCCTCTCTCTCCTCTCTTCCTCTCTCTCTCTCTCTCTCTCTCTCTCTCTCTCTCTCTCTCTCTCTCTCTCTCTCTCTCATATTTTAACCCCAATTTTCCCAAACCCAAAGTGACGTTGGGCATAGTAGTGTTTAGTATCGACTGATACTGACGTTGTAACTAGCGGTTGTGCTGCTACCTTGCAATGTTTGCTTACTGTACGTGGCACAAGCGAAAACTTAATAGCGTTATAATTGCTATATATCGGCACCAAAACTATTGTTTTGCCGGTACGGATGACCGAGATCGCTAAGGCAGTAGTGCCGTAGCAATTTCGAACCGAAGGACGAGGCGGGTCCGAGTCCCCCCCCCTCCCCCGGGCAAGTTTGTATCTGGTTCGTCCTTTCAGCCCCTATTATCATCATATCGTATCATCCTCATAGTTACACGCAATAGTGGTCGCTAACGACCTAGAAGTTGATGCGACCTTAAATAACAAATACTATTGTTTTTATACTACGGGTTTTAAGGTCGCCAAAAGTGTGTTCAAGCCGCGACCGAACATGAACGCAAAAGGTGGTTAAGGGCAGTCGGTTACCCGTGAGCAAAAAGGTAGGTATACTTGCGAGCAATAGCAACAAGAGACGACGATTAGCGAGAGATCCCAAAGTTGAATCGATCTCTAAGTCAATATATTTTTATGAATCCTTGCTACTTTCCGAATAATGTGTCATTAAATTCAGAAGTGTTTTCTTATTTTCAAACTTTCACAATGTTGAAAATAGATGTTTGTAAATTTGCTACTCCGTAATCATTAAATGTTGTTTCAGATTCTCTGTATTAACAATTAGAATAAATTTATTACGTTAATAGATAAAATATGTCTAGATGTAAGTCCATTTACGTTTGCAAGCAACGGTTTGTTCTTTGAGGTAAATAAAATCAAATCACAGATGCGGTATCTAGATTTAGATTTATTTAGTCAAAAAACAGTAAAAACTGTATGTGACGTATATGTTATCTGGTGACAATTGGAAATAACGACAATCGTCTCTTCACTACTCAAAATGTTCTTCTAAATATAGATTAATAATGTTAATATGTGGTAAATAAAAATGTTTAAACAGTAATTCCATTTTAATTATTACAAATGCGGCTATATTCAACATAATTAGAGCATTTAATAACTAAGTTTTCGATTATGTTTATTATAAATTAACTACAATATGTCTGTCTGTACTTGGCGCGACAGCCTACGGGCAAACGTCCCGGCCTCGCGGCCATGGGCTAAGGGGAAATTCTGATTGGCACGTACCCCCTTAGGCAAGAGGTCTCCACGCTGTATTCTGCACTTCTCAACCTGAGAAGTGAACTTTCTCATCGTCACACAGCAACACATACTGGGGCATTGCAAGTAAAACGCACACTATAATATTGCCCCATCGGAACTCGAACCCGGAGCTGCGTCACGAAAAGCGAGCACGTTGAGATGAGATAAAGATCAAGGGCAATTATAATCTTAAATAAACAATATTAATCTTAAATAAGTTTGAAATAAAAACTCTTAGGTTTTTTCGACCTCTTGTGGCGCTGTCCGCGACAGTTCCGTTCTCAAATTACCATTCAGCAGCTACAACTTGGTGTAGCCAAGGCAATGGGGCGAAGGCAGAAACACGATTGGGCGAACATGAAAATAGTGCTCGCCCCTGGGGTAGGCAACCCGGCATGCGGCAGATTTGATGACGTGCCGGCGGTACACTTTCACAGAAAAAGTTTATCCTAATATCAATATGGTGTTAATGACGTATTAGCTACACTTCCACAAAAAAATTTAGTATATAAATTCCAAATATCAGTATTTTCCAGATATACTACCTTGAGAGAAGCACAGCTGTACCTTGACAATTATTTATCGTCATCGAAAACTAATATTATGCACCATTTATATTTACCTAATTTGCGTAAATATTATTACCTATTATTGATGGGAATGCGTCATGATCGCCGTATGTCTCTCATACCACCTGTGGATAACGAATAAAAAATGGGCACAGACGTTCGAATATCTCCAGCTCGAAAATTTCGATAATTTGACCCTAAAGTGCCAAATGCATACATACAAGACTATTATTAAAACCATACAACATTATAATTTGAAAACCAATGCAAATACTACTTAAAGGTAAACTGATTATTTGAGTAAAATAATTTATATTAAATACGGAAACTCAATTCATATGCAGATAATTGAAGACATGACATCTGTAATCTACCTTCCCTTTCAAACAGGTGTCTTTTAGAGAATGGTAATTTCAAAAACAATCACTTTGAATATATAAACTTTATTGAAACCTTCCACAAATTACACAATGATTATATAAACACAAGAGTTATTTCCTTTTTTTAAAGAATGTACCAAAGTTTTAATATCAGATTGTGAATTGTTTTCATTTCAATTACATCAATACATGTTTTATGTTCAAGACATGTTTTATATTCAAAATATTTCTTATAAAATATAATTACAGAGCTGTTAACATTTAGGGTGTGTCTTTCTATGTGTTTGTGAGTACCAATGTAAATAATTTCAAATTTACACTCACATTTTTTCCGAGCGCAAATAAAAGCAAACAAAATGAACCCATCTACAAATATAACATAATACAAGGCCCTAAAGCCAAAATATACACCAATATTCAGGAAAAACACTAAGAATATAAGCCTACAATGGCAAAACCTACTTTTATAAGATAAACTCATTTCCCTATTCAAAATCTTCTTCCCTTCAACTCTTCCATCTCCCCTTTAGATATGGCAAAGCAATATTACATTGCAAGTACTTTGGACTGGTTTGCTTTGATTACACTCTGAATTAAAACTTTTTTCAGAATTTCATTCATGTAACGAACGCAGGCGGGCAGGTCATTTAAACGGCCCAGAGCGACGCACATATCCAAAGGTCTGACTTGATAGATGATAATTTTGCAACCATCTGGATTCTCAGTGATGTTCATCATCGCGTTGTCATTGTTCTGCTTTTTCTAAAACAAGAAAGGGATTAGGTGAGTTTGAAATAAAAACATCAATGTCGTTAACTGACATTTCATTTGAAATAAAAATTGTAATCATTTTATGAATATCTTCGTATTCTCTCTTCCAAATATTGGACGAAAATTCTAATGGAGATAGAACGTGTTGAAGATATTTACCAAGTCATCCGAAATATCTAAGAGCAGAACGCTGCATGTCAAGAAGATGCTTGTCATTAACAAGCAGAAGCTGATTTTCAAGCACAGCTGCAACTTATTCATGGATGATTCTGAAACAATAGATTACTTGTATTTATATGTTGCGAGCAGATTTACTTTAAACATATGTCTATAAAACAAAATGTTCTCTATGCATTTTTGTCTATATATACTATCTTCAGTTTAACATGCGCACAACAGAAAATATTGAAAAGTTTATATATCCGAAATGGACATTTTTAAATAGACGTGTGAAAGGGAACCTACCCGCCGAACAATACTTGCAAAAACACATGCCCCACCGGAATGCAGCCCACTATCCTTGAGATGGATATACAATCACATAAATGCAAATTCCATTATTATTGCGTTAACTGAACGAATTGAAAGACGTTAACTTTAAAAATGACATTTCTCTAGCACTTCACTACTACATTGATCACTGCTAACGTAAATATCAATTCACTTAACTAACCGAAAAATTAACTTGAATAAATACACCATGTAAGTTAGTTTTCGCACTTTTTGACGATCACGATCCTAAGTCACACACTACATTTTACAAATTGCACACAATTACATTTCCTTCGCACTTCACTACTTCACTGTTCACTGCTAAGGCATACATCACATCAACTTATCGAAACATTAACTTGAATAAAATAATTAATACACCATGAAAACTAGTCTTCGCACGTTTAGTCGCTCAGAATTCAAAATCACACAAGTAAAAACACGAAATGTCTCGGAGTTTTTCATGCTCACGACAGTAAGTCACATTCGCTAGCCGCACTCACCTTGATTTCTGGAAAGCTTCAACTCACGCATGGGCTGCATCTCGAAAGGCATCAATCCAACCGACGGAGAACTAGAAAACCCAAATGAGTTCCCCGCCCGTAGTCATCCTCTTTTATAGCACCTGGTCACGTGTCATATCATCCCGTTCCCTCGTCCCCCTGGGCCCACAGAGTGCCCCTCCACCGATCCGTGATGACGCCTGCAAGCACTCGATCACACCACGGCAGAGTCGTCTTACTGTCGCGACTGTCCGGCGCCTGTGGTTGAACGCGCGGTGAGAAGACCAAAGACGCGGCATCAGCGAATTCAAAATTCACCTTCACGAGGACGGGACATAAGGAAAATTTTGACGAAAAACACGTGACTTCAAAAATATGCAGTTTCGTCTTACGGTCGCGACAGTGCGGCGCCATGAGCGAAATAAGCACTTGGAAGACCAAGAAAGCATCATCAGCAAATTCCACCTTCCCGACAACGGGATACAACGAAACTTCTAAAGTAGAACACGTGAATTCAAAAATATGCAGTTTCGTCTTACAGTCGCGACAGTGTGGCGCCATGAGGGAAATGTACACTGGGAAGACGAAAGAAGCATCATCACTAAATTCCAAATTTCACCTTCCCTACAACGGGACACAAGAAACATTTTTAAGAAGAACACGTGACTTCAAAAATGTGGTTTTGCCTGACCGTCGCGACAGAGTGGCGCCACGAAAGGAACGTACTGTCGGAAGACTACAGGGGCAAAAACAGCGATTTCCAAATTACATCGTACCGGGAGAGGTGTCTCAGCAAATCAACTGATGACACTGCAGTGCCTCTGACAGAGAGGGTCTACGTTCGAGTCCCGACGGTAGCACGATTTTCGACACTAGCCAGATACCTAGGTCGAGTTCTGTCCCTGTAAGGAAAATAATTCTAGCACCTGGCTGCTCTGATCGGTAGTTTTCCGTGTTTTTTTTATTAACTCCAGATAAATGCCAGAGCAGTACCCTAACAAATGAGCCACAATCCACGAGCGATATTTCCTTCCTCTTCCTTGTCCTATCCTCCCCATTACTTACACACACTTACCCTAACATGCACTACACATGCCAGGAAACCGGTCGGCAACTTACCGCTTGTTCCTGCTGGTGAGAGACACTAGGGGAATTTCCGAACCGACGATAGGACAACCGAATCTCACCAACCAAGGGGGAAGATCACTGCCACCTCCCAAGGAAAACGGGACTAATGAATTTCCTGTTGACGTAATTACTTATCAATCAATTATAAAATCTATTTTTTTCGTTAAGAAGGTGGGATTCAAGGAAAATACTAAAGTAGAACAGGTGACCTTAAAAATGTGAATTTTCGTCATAACGTCGGGACAGTGATGCAACATGAGCAGAATGTATTCGGAGAAGATTGAAAAAGCAGCATCAGCGAATTCAAAATTGTTCTGGTTCTCTATCGGTTCTTTTGGGTTTTCTGTTTCTTCGACAGTTGGATTGATGCCTTTTCAGATCGTCACGACGAAGTAGGAGTACAACACGTGATATTTCGTCTTACCGTCGCGACTACTGGAGCTGGACTTCAAACAAATTGCTTTAACATGAAGAAAGTAACTTAAGGGAATTTTGAATTTTAAAACCGCATGATGACAATAAATTGTATAAACTATGCAAACAAATGTGCAAAATTGGAAATTTTTCTGAGAGTTATGAAGAGAAAGATGTATGTAAAAATAATGTTTGGGTTTCTCGATATTTCTACTATTTTTCCCAAAATTGTTGGCAATTTCGTCTTGTACTATGATAGTGTGGGTCAATTAGACTTTAGAAAGATTGTGTTCCTCATACCGCCGCAACCGAGAGAACAGTCAGCGAGATGTATTGTAAGAACATCAAGGAAGCAGTATTAGCAAATTTCAATTTCCAAAATAATTGAACGTTCCGTAAAAAACAAATCATGAAAAACAGCAAACAGATATTCTTAATTTCAAAATTGTTCCTGGTACCTTTTTTCGAGTATACCTTCCTGGAATCTAGCAAGACCAAACAAGGAACGTGCTAAAAAACATCCGAAAGAACAATGTTCTTTAAGGAATCATTTCATCATCATTTTATTGTCGGTAAGAAAGTTAGAACATACACCGAAGTCCCCTTCTCTAAATTATAACCACTATCATTATACATCCTAGGTAAACGTTTTCATCATACCGCAACAGTCCTTGGGCTCATAAATACCGGTAAATAAAATGGCCGCCTGCACCCAATACGTTCTTACCGATATTTATAACCAGTAATGATTTAGTTCATCATTCACAATATTCTCTCAAAGTACACTCGCCCTCAAGTACACCTACGTATTGTTCGAAAAGAGGAATCGGAAGACTAAAGGAAATATTATATTGTTAGGACATACACGGTATTTTGAAAAAGCCCAAACCATGATATGGCAAACAACCATTTATCCATGCCGTAGGAGGGAGTTGAACTGGTGGAACTCGTAAAATTGCTAATCACTGTCTGGGGGAGAATTCTAGCGGCCGAATGCCGGAGCTGTAACATAGACCAGTAAAATAGACCAGTAACATAGACCAGTAACATAGACCAGTAACATAGACCAGTAACATAACCAGTAACATAAACCAGTAACATAGACCAGTAACATAGACCAGTAACATAGACCAGTATCATAGACCAGTAACATTGACCAGTGACATAGATCAGTAACATAGACCACGCATAATCTTTCCTTCCAACTTCGGGCCGCATCCACTCATCTGACTTAGACAAACGCTCAAATGTTAGGACTACACATGTCAAGAGACCACTAGGGAGCTTAGAGCTTATCAAGACTGAGGTGGTGTCCTGCTGGTAGGAGGTTCCTCGATGGGAAATAGCATGTATTTTGGCGGCGGATCTCGCCATCCAGCTGGGAAAGAAGACAGCCATCTCCCGAGCTTACGATACTAAGCATTGCAGTTGCCGCGCCCGAAAACACTAAAAAACAGCCACAGAAAGAACAAAGTAGCGTTAGTGTCTAGGGATCAGACCATGTTTTCTATGTGTTTTTGGGGTCGCTAAATTCGAATCTGATGTCCATTTTACTGCATCACAAAAGGTTTTTGACATAACATTTTACATACAAATTTGACAAAAAATATAAACGAAAGATATTTCTAACCTTGGAACACTAGATTCGGATTTAGCGACCCCAAAAATATATAGAAAACATGGTCTGATCCCCAGACACAAACACAACTTTGTTATGTGTGGCTGTGTAATAAATCTATCGTAACATTGAATTATTTCAGAATCGGTACTCGTGAAGTTTCATCTGTTCCTGCGGCAGACATATGTTCGCCGAATCATTCTCCTTGAATAGTGTCTCCGCAAGACCTGTCGAAGGGTGAATGATCTCGAGGTCTTTAATCACTATATTTATGTAAAATATATATTGGCAACTTTAAACTAATATTATTATTATTATTATTATTATTATTATTATTATTATTATTATTATTATTGGTATTATCTTACAATTATTATTTTCCTTTTATTCGCAGCGTTCAGGACAATCCTAAGTATCAGGTATTTTTCTCAAAACACAACTACTATAATTATCTTATTTACAAATATACAACTTACTTATATGCAATAGTTTTGGTGTTATCAATTTGGTACTATTTGTTACGAATGGTGGGTCGAAAGTGGTCTAACCGTAGTGAAGGAAAGGTGCATGGACGGATGGCACGTTATTCGATTATTGTAATGTTTCTTACCGACTTTTATACCCGTATCTGAGCTAGACATATTCAATGACGTTGAATAAAAATCTTTCTGGTAAACTTCTGGCTGAATAGTGATCCCATATTTGTCTCGAGGAGTGTAATGACTCCATTTAATTTTAAAAAAATATTATCAATTTATAATAAAGAACTTCTACATCTAGACTTATCAGTTCATATTTGATATAAAATTAATAATAATAATAATAATAATAATAATAATAATAAAAATAGTAACATCGTCATCCTATCCCCCTAATTGATATTCAAAGCAAACAACATTGTCTTAACCACGGAATATAGCCGAAAAGCTTATCCTCATAATTCCACACATTGATCTCTCCTAAATAGAATACAACTGGGCCTCGGAGAAAGAAATGTGCTGCGTGGCCAGAAGTAGCCCATACACGAATAATAATAATGATAATAATAATAATAATAATAATAATAATAATAATAATAATAATAATAATAATAATTGTTATTATTATAACATCC